TCCYGCTCCATCCYGCTCCAAACCGTGCTCCCTACCCGGTAGGTGTTCTCGTAGTTGCGGCAGTGCTCGGCAAAGGGGGTCTCACGCCCCTCGGCCAGCAGCACCTTGGTGCTGATGTATCGGTGCATCGTTGGCTTCTTCACCATGGGGCCGGTGGACATTTTGTCACTGGTGGGCAGGCAGCTGGGSACCATGAGGGTCTTGGAGCATTGGCCACCGGAGAGCCTGCATGGAGAGGTGACAGTGACATGCTGCAGGTGAGCAAMAATAGGGGCAAGGTGCCAGACCATGCCGCCAGCTCAGCCCCATCACCCCTTGGCTCTGGTGAGCCTGGGGACGCACCAAATCCCACAACAATGTCCCTTCCCTCGCCTGAGCAGAGGGGTTCAGTCAGAAGTGCCTTACACTGCCCCAAAAATCAGCTTTCTGTGGGCTGCTCTCCTGATTCCTGCAGCTTTGGAACCGGCTGTGGCAGTGAGAAGCTAGGAACCGAGCTTGGCACCCTCCAGTTTCTAAAGGGCGGGATACAACTTGTTCCCTCACCGCTGGTATCTCCTGGCCCCTTGGCAGGCACCACTGCCCCTGTGTCTCCCCCATCCCATGATCTCCCRTCCTAGCCACCACCATTGGTCCTACCGTGCAGCGCTGTGCTCCCCCGGCCTGTGCTGGGGCCAGCAGCCCCCAGGAGCTCAGCCACCCTGYAGTGCCGAGCCTGGCTGGGGACAAGGAGTGTTCCCCATGGGGCAGCAGTGCCTGTTTGTTCTCTCTGTCCAGGAGAGCCTGGCAGGGCTGGTGCTGCCGTGACATCAACAGGCCTAAATATATCCTGGGTGAAGAATGGYTGAGCACTTCCCTGAAATTCTGATAAAAATAGTGGCGGGCAAAGAGGCTGTGGTGCCACGGGCATGTGGGCAAACAGAAGCTGGCCCAGGTGGAGCACCCATGGACAGGGGGCAGAGCCCTCCAGGGACCGTGGCAGGGGCCGGGTTGGGGAACAGAGTGAGGCTCAACCAGGTCCCTGGCTGCCAGCCCTGCTGCTGCCCATCCTGCTGCCACCTGCCCCATTTCCCAGAATTGTCACTTGAAGCCTGTTGTTCATCAGTGCAGCTGTGTCCGTGCTGTCCCGGTACCACTGCTGAGGTGACAGGCTCAAGGGCAGCAGCAGGGGCAAGCTTGGCACAGTGGGATGCTGAGGGGGCTGTGCAGTGTGGCACATGGCAGGGGACACAGTAACGCGTGTGCCCTGAGTGCGATCCTAGCACCTCACATGTTCGTGCCAGCGATGCCAGGACCGATGCCACCGGTGCTGCCCACCACGGAGCGGCGGGGGCTGAGCATCAGGAGGGGCTCCAGGCAGCGGGCAAACTCTGCCCGGTACTCGCTGTTGATCTGGGGAGYGAGAGAGGAGAGTGGGGCTGGGGTAGAGCCGAGAGCTGGCACTGCCCGCAGGCGCTGCAGGCAGAGCTCTACCTTGCTGGTCTGGGCTGGCCGCAGGCGGTGCGGCAGCTTGACGATCCTCTGCAGCCTCTCCATCAGTTGCTGAAAGGCAGCRGTGAAGCGTGGTGAGGGGTGCCTGGTGTGGTGGGAGATGCCCAGCATCCTGCCCATCAGCCCAGCACCGCTGCAGGATGATCCGAGCAGCCTGCAGTGATGGCAACACTCACATAGCCCAGGTCCAGGAACTCGGCTTTGTTGGCAGAGCTCAGGAAGGCCGAGCAGGTCACCAGGTGGACCTGTGTGTRTGGAGGGGGTCTGTCACTGCCTGGCTTCAGTGTCAGGATGTCCCTGCCKAGTGTGAGGCCCTACCTGCAGGGTGGGCAGCAGGGAGGCAAGGTGGGCGAGCTGCTCCTTGAATGCTTTCTCCTTTTCCTCATGTTGGCTGCAGCAGAGCATGGCATGGCATGGCACAGCCTTTGCTGGATCCCAGGCAGCCATCCAGCCCCAGGCATCCCAAAATGCCTTGGGAAGCAGGGACARCGCTGGGACAACAGGGTTCAGCTCATGGTCCCTCACCTCTGCACAGCTTTCAGGAGTGTCTTCTTCCTCTCGGAGAGCTGCTCCTGCAAATGGCACAGCCACCCTGTGTCCTGCAGCACCCCCAATCCCTTCCCACTGCCCTGGCTCTGTCCTGCAGGCACAGGGCTCAGTGTGCAGGCASCTGCCTCGCACCTGCATGCGGCTGAAGAGGGAGTTGATGGCTGCCTCCTCCTCACTGGCACTGTTGCGAACCTCCTCGATCATGGCCTTGAGCAGGACGATGGCCTCGCGYGTGGAGGTCTGCAGTTCCTTCACAGCCTGCCCGGGATGGTGGGGCAGCTGCAGTGCAGGGGATGGCACTGCAGCCCCACACTACCCCCACACGCCCTAGCCCTGCTCACCATCACTGCCTGGTCCAGCCGCTGGCAACCCTGCATGTACGCCGTCTCAATGTCGATGCAGTGCGCCCGGCTCTCCCTGCGGATATTGGCATCAGGGCAAGGCACAGGATGGGGCACGCAGCAAGTGTGGGGCTGGGGCTACTCACCCCTGCATGTCCCTGAAGCAGTTGATGCAGAGCATGGACTTCTTCTCGGTGGAGAACATGATGTAGGGCTCCTCATGCAGTGCTGCAGGGGACAAGGACATGGTGTAACATGGCACGGTGCTGTGAAGCACGGCATGGCAGGGACAGCCTAGCACGGCACTCACAGCACTTCTTGTGGATGTCTTTGGTGCGCTTGGASAGGGAGACGATCTCATGGCGGGCGAACATCTTGGCACGGTGGGTTTCCTCACGGCATGGGGCACAGAGGGGCTGCCCACAGGTGTTGCAGAAGTACATGGTGTCCAGCTCCTGTGTGAGGGGACACGGCTGGTGGCAGGCATGGCCCAGGCAGAGGTCCCCTGCTCACCCTGCCTTGCCCACCCTGCTGCCCTCACCGCCTTGGTGCACCACCGGTCACAATTGGCACACTGCACATCCTCCTCGCTRTCGGCTGAGCTGTCCACCAGGAACTGCAGGAGCCGGTCCACGGGGGGCAGCCCCGTACCTCCTCTCACCACTGAAGGGTGCCTGCAGGGATGGGATGGGGACAAGGATAGGGACACCCAGCCGGGCAGCTTTGGGGGTGCAGGGAGCAGTGCTCTGCTGAACTGCCAGCCCCGTGCTSTGCCCCAGTGCTGGCATGCCCCGGGCAGGGCTGTCCCTTACCCACAGAGGGGGCAACGCAGGCGGCCGTCGCTGGCGCGGCCTCGCAGGCAGCTGGCACAGAAGTTGTGGTAGCAGTCGAGCAGGCAGGGCTGCTGGTAGGGCTCGTGGCAGAGCAGGCACACCAGCGGGTGGCAGTTGGCTTTCTCCAGCTCCGAGCAGCTCCCCAGTGGGGAGAAAATAACTCCTGCCATCTGTGGGGTTTAGAGCCAAGCCCTGTGCCCAGGGACCGTGTGTGGCACCAGTTTGTGCGAGCGCTGTGGCTGCCACAGAAAGGACGAGTCCTACCCCGGGGCCTGCGAGCTGCTGACTATTTTTAGGTTATGAGCTGCATGGCATGAGGCTGCCCCCAATGTGCCCCTTTCCCCGTCATCACAGGCTGGGGKCTACAGGGCTGGGTGGGATGGTCCYCAYAGCGAGGTGTCCCYCAAAGCAGGAGCATCCCCTGGGATGGGTTGTCCCCTGCAAAGGAGCATCCCCTGTAGCAGAGCATCCCCCCAAGATAGGGTGGGGTATCCTCCAGGAGTGGGTGTCCCCCCAGAGGAAGCATTCCCTACAACGGGGTGTCCCCTGCCCTGGGATGTCCCCTACAGTGGCAGCCTGGCAGTGAAGGCAGCCGGGTGCCTCACATGCCSGGAGCTCCCGGTCACAGGTGTGTCCCGGCCAGGTGAAGGCTTTACCTCTCCCTGTCTGTAAGCCGGGGGATCCGAGCCGAGCTGTGCTGCTGCTCACCGTGTGCCGGCAGGAATGGGAGCGATGCCGAGGCGGCAGGGCCCGCTCGACCCCGTGACGTGGGGCCCCCCTGGCACTGCCGATCGGCTGCCACGCCACGGCCCAAAAATAGCCCCGTGCGCTCCGCGGGGCCCTGCGGCAGGGACAGCCCTCGGTGTGTGGGGCGGGACACGAGACCGCGTAACCAGGGATCACCCAGGCTGCGGGGACATGGGCATCTGCATGCTCTGGTGACAGGCTGCAGGAGGTGCGGGGGTCACTGTGTGCCCCGGGGTGCGGGGGGATCGCTCCGTGCACAGTGAGGAGTCCCGGGGTGCGGGGGGATCGCTCCGTGCACAGTGAGAAATCCCGGGGTGCGGGGGCATCGCTCCGTGCACAGTGAGGAGCCCCGGGGTGCGGGGGGATCGCTCCGTGCACCGTGAGGAGCCCCGGGGTGCGGGGGGATCGCTCCGTGCACCGTGAGGAGCCCCGGGGTGCGAGGGGATCGCTCCTCCACAGTGAGGAGCCCCGGAGTGCGGGGGGATCGCTCCGTGCACAGTGAGGAGTCCCGGGGTGCGGG